AAAACCTCCTTCTTGCGGTCGGTAGTCTCATGGATTTATAAAGCATGCAATAAACGCACAATTCCAGGGGATAAAGGAGTTCTAAAAAACCTGACACTTTCAGGAAATTTGGTGTGAAAAGTACATGATTTTTCTCCGTCTAAAAAAAGGGCCCGTTGCAAACTTCAACTAGAGCAAAATGAAGAGTTCTTCCTAGTAAAAAATGGCCCAAAAATCACGATGGGCGCAATGGGAAAGTCTGAAACGCACTCTCAACGTCACAATTTCCGTAAGAAATATGCGGTTTTTGACCTTCTCGCTTAAAAAAAAATACAACGACAAGGGTGGGCAATTCGTCAGAGGATTCGTCCCATCCAACCCTTGCGCATTACATTATAGGGTGCTGCGCAATACTCAACATGTTTGACAATCAAACAATATAAACGAAACGTCATTATCTGATGGAATATTTAAATCCATAGAAGTTTATAAATCTCATGTTAACCAACCACCATGGTTCATATCGACGCAGGAAGAAGTATAAATATATACACGCCCGTTGATAAAATCCCGTCTCGTCGAGCTTGCTTTGGCAGGTTGGCGTCTGCCATGTTTAATATTGCGTAGCATACTTGTGCGGAAAAGTTGGATGAAACGGCTCCTCCTAGGAAATGTTTACCTGTGCCATACTATCATTTCTGGAGTGGGATGCTTAAAAAACGCATATCTCTTACGGATATTGTGACGTTAGCAGTATATATTTCAGACTTTCCCAATGCGCTCATCGTGATTTTTTAGCCATTTTCTACTAGAAGTAACTCTTCATTTTGCTTCTAGCTTGCTTCAGTTTGCAACGGGCCCTTTTTTAGACGGAGAAGCGGGAAGCTTAAAAAACGCATATCTCTTACGGATATTGTGACGTTAGCAGTATATATTTCAGACTTTCCTAATGCGCTCATCGTGATTTTTTAGCCATTTTCTACTAGAAGTAACTCTTCATTTTGCTTCTAGCTTGCTTCAGTATACAACAGGCCCTTTTTTTAGAAGGAGAAGTGGGAAGCTTAAAAAACGCATATTTCTTACGGAGATTGTAAAATTAGAAGTGTACACTTCCCGATTCCCGCTCATCGTGAATTTTGAGACATTCTCTACACTAAGCAACTCACTGGAAAAAAAACACATTAGATCTTGAGTCCAGACTCTTGAAAACATTGACAAGAAAAAGGACTCTTGATTCAATCAGATTTAAGCTTAAATCAAAAGGAAATCCGCTCAAATTAAGAGGCTTGGTTCTTCATTCAAGCTTAAATCTGATTGAATCAAGAGTATTTTTTCTTGTCGATGTTTTTAAGAATCTGGACTCTAGATCCAATGTGTTTTTTTCCCAATGCTCTTCTTCTTGCTCTGGCGGAAGTATGCAATAAGCTCATTATTGCCTCCAACAGGCACAGCTTGTGCAGCAATGAAGCGCCGCAGTGGATCTCGTCCCTACATCACTTAGAATCACCTCAACGAGAGCTCCTCATAATAGCGAATGATGTCACGTCAGACACGACACTCGATCACACTTTTTCCATGCTCCCGCAACATTTTTACGTGTGCAAAGCTGCGGACTTAGTTAACATTCCTGGCGAGGCGGCCGTGCAAAGGACTAAAAGACCAGCTGTTGGGATCTTAATTAAAGCTCTCGTAGTGGCGGGCGTCGGCGTTTGGCCTCTTCGGTTGCCATGGCGACGACACGCGTACGGTAACTCGAGTACTCGCGCTCGCGAAAAAAGAAAACTGGTTTGGCCGTAATTGGCGCGTGCCGCCGGACCCGCGCGCCACCAATCACCGCCGATGGTCACCGGTGACGTTTATCGGTTCGTGCCGGGGGTTCAGATCCGAGATCCCATCCGCCTCTTGTTACATGATCGAATTACTCTCGCCGACTGGGGCGTTTGATGGGGCATGCTCAGCGGCCATCAGGATATCAGCGCTTGATATCTGATTGATGAATATGGTATGACAAGTATTGGTCATCATCATCGTTTTGCGAAAGGCAGGAACCAATAAGGGAATTCTACAATCCTAAAATCGGTCAGGAAAAAATGCGGGGAAAAATTTCTAAGGCGCCGTTCCTAAATTACATTACGCTCTAAAGCCCTTTGTCCCACGATCAAATGAACTCATCAATTGCAAGATGGTGACTGGTTTTCGCGCAAGTCTGCTATCAAATGTTAGCGGGCCGTCAAATGTTGATGAACCCGCCATCTTGCATTTGATGAATTCATTTGATCGTGGGACATGGGCTTTAGAGGGAGCGAAAGTCCAGGAGAGCGTACGCCATTTTGTTTTTACATATTAAAAGATAGGTAAACCTACGTCACAAAAGCGTTACAAGGGGAAGGGGGGGGGGGGGTAAAAATGCAGGAAAAGTGAGTGACGTAATTCAGGGACAGCCCCTAAGTGGATTTTACTTATTGACATGATTCCTTCAGATACTTGACTCAGTTGGACGTATTTCTGTCAAACAGAACTATGTGAGAGAACTATGTGCATTGAGACATGAGCCCTGAGACCCATAAGAATATGTGCATAACAGGGCTCACGTCATAATCCACGTAGTTCCGTTTGACAGATATATGTCCAGTTTTGAGGATTTCCACGACAAATTCTCGCGAGCGAGTGAAGATATGCTGGTTCTTTCTGGTAGGAAACAAAACGCAAAATCTCAACACAAAAACTTGCGGACAGAGAGGGATGCTGAGGACTTTCATCATGAAACTCGGAAAAACGTCTTGACTTTGCCGTCAAAAAAATTTCGTCTTCAATCAATGATAAAATTGCTTGAATTAAGAAGGTTTCTCCTTGACGTAAGAGACTTTCTTCTTGATATGAGTATCTTCTCTGCTTTATTCAATATTGATTTCTCTTCGGCGGCGAATTCAAGAAAATTTCTTGAATCATGTGAATGTTCCCCAGGCTTAATTCGAGAAGGTAACTCGAAAATACGGCCCTAAATTCAATAAACATGCAACAAGGCCTGCGGCGTCGGCGGGTTAGAATAACGCAAATAGAGAATAATGATTCAAAGTAACGAGTAGAGAATGGGAGGGGGGAGGGAAGGAAGGAGGGGTTGAAACAAAAGAACCCCAATTTGCTCCCCGTCTTTCCCTGACACCTCCTCAACGAATCGCATCACGTCGTGTTTGTAGACTAATTACGAATCAAGCAGAAATAACAATTTTCGACAAGTGAGAAACTTCCCGAACGGGAAATTGATCGCAAAGAATGGGAGCTGACGGAAAGAACCGAGGCCCAGAAACAGGAGCTGCTTGATGTTGTTGTAAGTTTTCTAATTTCGTCGTTGCCGGTTTAGAAATGTTTCAGTAAACGAGATTCAAATTAAAATGTGATGAAATGAGGGGGCAGACCATAGTATACTCAGTGGTATGAGCGAAATTTTGCCAAAATAGCCCCACCAGAGGGAGATCCGGGGGATTTTTCCGGAAAATTATTTAAAATATAGGGTGCTCTAAAGCCAGGGATGCAGAAAATGTCCGATGAACATGTGGAAAAGCCCCCAAAATGTGGAAGGATCTTCAGACGAAAGTCAAAGAAAAACGGGGGAAAAGGTCATCTATTTTTAAATTGGTGGGAAATTTTGCAGAAAACCGATGAAAAAATATTTGGAAAGCCCGCGGGCGGGTGCTTGAACATGTGGAAGCTTGAACGAGACGATAAGAATGATTTTCTAGAGACTTTTCAAAATGTTTTTAAAATCATTAAAAAAACAATTTCAAACTTTAAATTCTTTGTGATGTCTTTTAACGTTTCGAAACCTGTTTAAAATGATTGAGAAATGGCTTCTAAACATTTTAAAAATGTATCAGTGTAGAAATTATTTGCCGCCCCCAAACTTTTCAACGTTTTCGTGAGCTATTTCAGTTTTCCCCTTGTTTTAATGAAAAATGTCTGAACACATCATTGTGTTCAGAGATATTTAACCATTATTCAATTAATTTGGTTTCTGTTAGACGGGCTTAAGTCCAAAAATGCATGAACCCTAGCCTTCGCTAATCACGCAGGACGCTAGGGCTCATAAGTTATTGGAATTAACCCCGTCTAACAGAAACCGATTCAATTGTAATATCGAAGGCGCAAAGCGCCAATCGAGGTTGGGCCGCTTAGCGACCACTGTGGGAGCCGCGGTGCTGAATAAAATAAAAACCGAGGCACACGATTACACGTTCGCTTACATTGCCTAACGTTCAACGACCAATCTAATCGAAGATTTTTTCCTCGTTTCCCCAGTGGCACTATCATAAATCGTAAGCAGCGGGGGTGATGGCGCGAATTTGTCGCAATTAACGAGAGGTCGTCTGACAAATTCGCCTCCCAATCCCCGCACCCTCTCCGAGAGCCGTCTGAGTTGTCGCCGCACGACATGATTATTAATTAGCCCCCTTTTCCCCCTCACCCCTNCCCCCCCTCATTTCATCCCCAATTATTCACGGCCCATCGCCATTCACCAGCCGACGACGTCTTACATCTTGCTAACATCTGAATCTTTTGTGCTCCGTCCTCGCCAATCAGAATTCGTCGGCTTGTTGCCGAGTTGCGGGAGAAGCTTCGTTCTGTCTGGAGTTTCGATGTATTTTGTCAAAAAACGGAACTACATTTCAAAGTTTTTAAATATTTACTCTCAAAACTTAATTTCACGAGGAAGATATTGGGCATTTCTGATTTAAAATGGACGTATTTCTACCGAGCAGAACTATATGCAGATGGGAAACATGAGGTGTGCTCGTGGTGAGATGAATAAGAGATAATGTAAAAGTGGGATTATTTCCTTTAGCATAATTGGAAAAGCGGGATTTTAGATTTACTAAACGGAACTATGTTCCAGCTGTATCGAGAAAACAATTTCCAATTGAGTAGGGTAGCAATTTTTGAAAATTTAAAAGCGGTAATATTCATCGGGCAAAGAAAAATTACAGGAAATTTGGAAGCATTATCACGTCCGTAGGGATTCTTACCGTTTGATTGTTGGCATCGATGTAGCGCAGCCCGAAGTAGGCGGTTTCCAGCAGATTCAAGTGACGAAAAACTAGATCCACTAATTCCTGGCCGCGAGTGTTATCCTGAAACAGAAAAATTTCATGAAATTATAGTAGGTGATCAAAACGGTTTTAAAGAGGACACAGAAGTGGGTAGTATGTAGCAGCAGTATCGCGCACAAATTACGAGCATAAGTCTTGTAATCAAGACCCCCAAATACACCTTAACTTAATATAAAACCTACACGATCATCGAAACGCCTTCAATTTTGTGGATACTTCAGGCACATCCATGACGTTTATATAATTGTATGCTGCCCCTGACCCGAGTCAGAGGAGGTTCCTTGTTAAGATGACTCTCTTACGGGATTTTGTTCCACATTTAAAGGTGGGCATTTAAAAACCAGTTACTGAAATTCCATTACAGGTAGGATAAGAAATCATACACTAGAGCGCACATTTTCTCGTCACAATTTAATCAAAATTATAACCGTCCATGAAAAGTCAGAGCGCTGATCATCGAAACGCCTTCAATTTTGTGGATACTTCAGGCACATCCATGACGTTTATATAATTGTATGCTGCCCCTGACCCGAGTCAGAGAAGGTTCCTTGTTAAGATAACTCTCTTACAGGATTTTTTTTCAAGATTTAAAGGTCGGAATTTAAAAACCAGTTACTGAAATTCCATTACAGGTGGGATAAGAAATCCTACACTAGAGCACACACTTTCTCGTCAAAATTTAATCGAAATTGTAACCGTTCATGAATAGTCAGCGCGCCGATCACCGAAACGCCTTCAATTTTGTGGATACTTCAGGCACATCCATGACGTTTATATAATTGGACGTATTTCTACCAAAGAGACCTATGTGGAGGTGAGAAATATGGGGTGTGCTCGTTAGTTCTCTTTGCGTAAGAGTGAATGAGAATAATTGTGCGCCAGTGACGTCAGCGGCAATGAAAAAGCGGGGGCGCATCGGGAGGATCGTCGTCGGGGCGCTTTAACTCGTGAGCCCTGTCCACAACGCTCTCTTGCCATGCCCGCGGCTCATGAGTTCCGCATTCAGTTGGCACATAGGTCTCTTTGATAGAATGTAAAATCCCGCTTTTCCAATTCTACAAAAGGAATCTCGCCCACTTTTACATTGCTTCTTATGCAGCTTATTCTAGGGCACACCCCATATTTCTCACCTCCACATAGGTCTGTTTGGTAGAAATACGTCCAATTGTATGCTGCCCCTGACCCGAGTCAGAGGAGGTTCCTTGTTAAGATGACTCTCTAACAGAATTTTTTTTTTTTTCAAGATTTGAAGGTGGCATTTAAAAACCAGTTACTGAAAATCCATTACAGGTAGGATAAGAAATCATACACTAGAGCGCACATTTTCTCGTCAAAATTTAATCAAAATGATAACCGTTCATGAAAAGTCACCAATAAAAATGCCGATAGGGAACCTGCCTATAGGATTCTAGTATATTAGCGGTAATGCGTCCAAGTGGCGCAACAGCTCAACAACACAACGTCAGAAAGAGGCCTAATACATTTAGGTATAGATTAATCCGTGATACCTTTACTTAATGCTTCTGATGTCAAGAGCGGAGGACGACGGTAATTTTTCTTAAATGTATTTTTTAGCGGTGGTGTGGTTTCTTCAAAATTGATCGTTGAAATTTTGGTGTGCGAGTTCTTTCATCACAACGGTGCTCATCTTCATCGGGGATCTTAAAAACGCTCCTGGATAGAAAACAGCTGGGCGCTTCTGTAATACGAACGTATTCGAGCTTTCCCGCTTGTTTCATTTTCTTGACGCCTTCAAAAAAAAAATCAAAATCATAAAATCATAAAAAATGTTCTCCGTGTTGTTTTAGAGGAGCGGTTCAAGATGCACGACTACGAAGCATACTGCGGCGAGTGGCGCGTACTTGTCGGTACACGCGAGTGGCTCGAGAGCAAGACGAGTTGCGTCGGGGTGTGGGTCGGGTGGTTAGAGTCAGTGGCAGCCGGCGCGGCACCGCATAAATTTGGCCCGCGATTTCGCCATTTGGACGTTCGCCATCCGCGCGAACGCGCCTTTGCCGATTCGCACACTGCACCGAGTGTCTCGTTGCTCGGACTTCTGGAAAAGTCCAGGCGGTACAGTCCACTGGTCCTTTTTGGATTGTTGAATATACGTGGCATTCCAGAAATTGTAGACATCATGCACTACATAACATTTTTCCTCAAAAAAATTTAATCAAAATTGTGACCGGTCGTGAGTCCATCGAAATCCCAAAACTGCGCGTCAATCATCAATTCTACACAAATTCCATTACAGAAAGATAAGAAATCATGCACTGCAAAACTAGTTTTCTCGTCAAAATTTCATCAAAATCATAACCGGCCCCGAGTTCATGAAAAGTCCGAAACTGCACTTCGATTTTTATAACGCCTTCAATTTTGTGGATACTTCAGGCACATCCATGACGTTTATATAATTGTATGCTGCCCGTGACCCGAGTCAGAGGAGGTTTCTTGTTAAGATGACTCTCTTACAGGATTTTTTTTCAAGATTTGAAGGTGGCATTTAAAAACCAGTTACTGAAAATCCATTACAGGTAGGATACTAAATCCTACACTAGAGCACACACTTTCTCGTCAAAATTTAATCGAAATTATAACCGTTCATGAAAAGTCAGCGCGCTGATCACCGCGAAACGCCTTCAATTTTTAGGATACTTCAGGCACAGTCGTGAAGCTAGAATAGTTGTATGCTGCTCCTGACGCAAACCAGCGGAGGTTATTCGTTTATTTGGCTCGCTTTTAGCAGTTTTTTCAAGATTCAGAGATGGGCGGTAAAAAACCGGTGCTCCTTACTGTTCTGAAGAGGGTTCCACCACATTCAAAGAATATTACTGCTCATGGTTAAGACTTATCCCTCTCTAGGCTGACCTGGTTGCAATGTACTGAAAAAAAAGTGAAGTTGATTTAACATTGTGGATGTGAAAAAAGTGTGCGAAAACTTACAAAATTCTGAATAAACTGCTACGGCAGTTACTTTAGCAATGTCACGATGTAAAACTAACTGCCGTAGCGGGTAATTCAAGATTTTGTGAGTTCTCGCACAATTTTTTTACATTCAGTATGTTGAATCAACTTCACTTTTTTTCAGTGAATGCGACTATGGTTATAGAGAAAAACTCGAAGATAGGCTTCCACCAGGAAAATTGCTGTATGTTCATCTAAGAGTCATTCCTGCTTCTATCTATAACCACCTTGGAAACATTTGATGTGAGATCTGGCAACTGCTAGCTCAGCTCCCATCCACCAAGTTCAGGAGCACCGCTGACAAGTCCATCGACCGCGGTAGCATTGCCAAGCAAGAACGACTTAACTACAGGAGAAACTCTATGAGTTGATACGTGGTTTTTCTTAAACACGGCAAAGTTTACCTCCAGCGTGGTGTTAAATTTCCTTAAAGGCTAGTTGCGATTGACACAGAATCGCGTTTCGAGTTTTAAAGCTCATTGATGAGAGAAAAATTATAAGGTCTATCTCGAACTGAAAACCCACCCGACCTATTTACGTCATCCACCTTGGTACTACGGCCTTCAGTAGAAAATTAAATTTCCAAAAGTGTGCAAAATTACGCAAAATCACATAATCATGGTATGCTGGTTTCAACTTACAATGGGCCTGTTGCATGCAAGAGATACAGCCGCGCGAATAGACTTTTTAGGGGTTAAATGACACGAAAATTACGATGGTCTCATTAAAAAAGTCTGAAATACACTCCTTACTGCGCAAACTGCGTTGTTAGGAACGCGCTTTTTCAAATTTCCCGCGTCTGGGGGCAGTTTTCTAATCACTGGAAACGAGCAAACGGCGGGCTCGGTGATTTCCGGAAGATGCCGAGTCGTTGTTGTTGTTGTTTTTTCCTTCAGTTTGTTTACAAACCCAACGTGATCTCTTGTAGTGGTCCATGTACGCTTTATGTGGTAACGAAATCGATCAACTTTTAAATATCCAACGCAATCCTTCTACATTTCATTTCACGATATCACGAGCTCCGATTTTTAGGTTATGTTGTCAGTTTTAGTAGACCGGAAATAGCCGCGAGTTGCCGTTAGAAAACTGCCCCCAGACGCGGGAAATTTGAAAAAGCGCGTTCCTAACAACGCAAATTGCGCAATAAGGAGTGTATTTTAGACTTTTTTAATGTGACCATCGTAATTTTCGTGTCATTTAACCTCTAAAAAGTCTATTCGCACGGCTGTATCTCTTGCATGCAACAGGCCCATTAGGACAAAATATGATAAGATCTGTTCAAACGCCAAGTCCCTACTTCCAATTTAACGGAGATGACACCCATTGAAACAGAAGAAGTTTTGATGGGCAGGTTGCTCAACAGAAAACATGGACGACGCCAAGGTGGAAGAAACCAAGGAATGAGCCTTTAGGTGGATGATGAAATACGCCACGTTTTTTGATGGGCGACATCTCCGACAATATTGGATGTAAAAAAGCGTTTGGACGAAACTCATTTATTCTTGCTAATCTATTCGCTTAAACCATCAAAACACAACTATGCGACTATTGAAACGGATCTACCAGTCATTTTACTAGAGTATACGTATTCTTGACAACGCATAAAAATGATCATTTTAAAAAAAATGTTGACTTCGTATGAGGCTCAGCACACACAAAAGATGTTTAAACCACCTGGACGTTAAGTGTGACATTTATACTGCCGAGTATATACGTTCATCGAAGTTAAAATTTGATCCTAATTGGCAACATTGCCGCTCGAGCATCGATGCAAAGAAAAAACATAAACTTTAAAGTTCGAAAATGGGATCAGTAAAGCAATGAAACTTTGCGAGTCGATTTTTGAAACTATGTCAGCACGACAAGACAAGGCATAGCCCTGTCTTAACCGTACAGAGCATTGCAGTTTCATGTATTCATGTCTCATCATGCTGGTTAAAACTTTCGGTAATCGGGAAAAATCTCAATAAGCAATCGTGGGCCTTAAAGTGCCGATACAAAAGTTTCCCAAAACGACTGGCAAGCTACTAAAGTTACTTCCATCAGAAAAAATGATT